TATGGAATAATTCTATCTTTTATTTGTCTTCAAGCCATGGCTAATTAAGTTCATTGGATGACCTCAAGGAATAGTATTATTAGACAGATGGGGGAGTCTTCTTTTGATTCACTTACATTTTTCCATACCTAATTTTACTCAGCAGGGGCGTTCCTAATTTGTAGGGTCTGCACAGCAATGTAATGGAGAAGAAGAGCCTAAACTCGGCTATTGGGTATTTTAGTTGCAGAGATAAATGTTGCTCATGCTTGGATTCAGAATCAGCCAAGGCAACTTACATCGTAGTAAGCTTCAGAGTCCTAGATTGTGATGCATAATTGTTTGTGTGTGTGTGAGAGAGAGAGAAAGAGAGAGAGAGAGAGGACTCAGTTAAGCCTCCTGTTTTTGCAAGATGAGATGTCATCTTGCTAACAGGTCACGAGATTGATGCTGGGCTGAATCTGGCCACAAGCCTTGTCATATGAGATGCAGGCCAAAACTGAGAAGGAAACACAGCATGTCCAGCAAAGAAGTATGATAAAGTCAGGCTTGTTAGAAATACGACTAGTAGAGCTAAGAGAAAAAATAAATAAAACAGACACACACACAATCAGCATCTATATCCTGCAGAAAAAAAACTGAGATAGCAGATGGAGTTAAATCATGGTTCATCCTTTTTACTAAGTGGTAAGATAAATAGAAAGAAGAAGCAGATGGTGAGAAAACAAATATGCGCTTAAGGATCCATATAGCTGCCCTGATAATAAAGTGGAGAAATGTGCAGGAGGTAGTTTTGTTCTAATTCCTCCTTCTCTGAAGTATTGGGACTTCATGAAACTTTCTTACCTGGAGCTGTAATCCAAGGATCCAAACATTCATTTTACCATTCATATGACTTTTCTGTGCTAACTCTCCTGCCTGATTTGGCTAAAAGTTTCAGCACCCAAACTATACAGTACACACTTTTCTGGAAGTAGACCCCATTGAATTCAGTAGCCTATAATTGTAAACAGACCCATATAGCTGAGTGCTCTGTTGATACAGTCTATGGTAGAATCATGGATAGAGTCATAGAGGCAGTATGTCCAACTTCCTGCTCATTGTAGAAATCCAGATAAAATGCTTTGCTTGAACAAATGCAGAGGAGATGCTGGCATATCTTTCCCCAGACATCACGCTGAAATGACTCGGGATAAAAAGACTTCTAAATGCAAATCACAATATGAGTTTGTAAGTGGAAAAGCATTGAAGACTTTTCTATCTGTTCCTTCAGCATATCTTTTGGAAAGTGGATATTTACTGCTCATTTACAACTGTGACCAAATATCAAAATAGACCAGATGATGAGCCAGTTGTTAAGCAACTCAGATTTGCTTCAGTGAAGCCATTCCTGTCTGGAAGTGACATAATTCAGTAATTCACTTAACTGAAGCAAGGAGATGACCCAATTTGCCTCACTGAAGCCATTTGCATCATCTCAAGCCACTTCAGGACAGCTCTGCAGCAGAAGAATCCCTTAAATGTTGGCTTCAGCATTTGCTAAAGTACTCCCAAGCTGAGAGTTTGGGATTGCCTACAGTGTGTGTTGAAGTCACTCAGCTAAGAAGCCCTTCAGTGAACCCTGAAGTGCAGCTCCAGAGACAGCAGGCCTAGCCAGAGCATCCCAAGTGGAAGATGTTTGGTGTACAAAGCTTTGGGCCAGTGGTCTGGAGGGGATGAATGATGGTTCTTTGACAGAGCTTGCCAAAAGAGGAGATTAGAGAATCTAAGGACTGGCTGGATAGTTTGCTGCACAGTGCCGGATTGTGGAGGAAGGTGTGTGTGTTGAAACCATTCAGTATACAAGGCCTTCTGTACACACTGAGTTGGCTTAAAGTTAGTGATTCTTGGAGCACACTGCAAGCAATCCCACAGCACATGCACAACCTGCTCAACCTAGAAACTCTCTAGACAGCACTATGGGAGAAAGCTTCTCTCAGCTTAATCTTACTCGTGCATGGCAGAAAATGGTTGCTTTTTTATGTGGTAATGAATATTGGCAGTTTGGGGTGGGGTGAAATACATTATTTCAGATGTATGAGGTAGGCAGCACTGCATCTAACTGACCTTGGCCAATCCTGAAAAGAATTAAGCAAGTTGGGTTCAATTAGTACATGGATAAGATGCCCCAAGTTTTAGGTTAAATTGGAAAGTTGGAGAAAAAAACCTTCAAAAGCAATGGGAGATCACTTCTGTATAGTTGCTAAGAAATATATAGGGCGAATCCATATAGTCACCAGGAGTTAACCTACTACATAGCTTCTTCTGAAGGAGAATGGATCAATTAATTTGGGAACACAACCCTTTTACAAGCTTCCAGTAACTTTATTAACCCAGTAAGATCATTTTTCCTGTTCTTAGTTCTGAGGTTCATTTCTATACCTGACTTCCTCAGTATTAAAGGGTCAACTATTCTAAACTATATACACTAAATTTCTCAATTCTCACTTCATATAGTTTCGATTTTCAGCTTCACCTTTAATTTGGGATAAGAGCATTATGGAAAGCTTGATGGATCAGATGTGAAAGTTATTCACATTTTGTTTATTGCAGTAGTTAGAGGAAGTTTACCTCATGGCTGCAAGAATTAGGCCTATATCTTACCATCATACTTGTATTTCTCAAAACATAGTTCTGAGAGGCATAATGTCTGAGGTGAAGGCATTTTTTTACAGCCACATAGACTCTTACCTTGCAGAGATAACATAAGCCACTTCTCAGTCACAACCACCATTGCTCTTTCCAACCTGTGGTATGAGGATAATAGCACAGGCAAAGCTGCTGTGCAATCTTTTTAGAGGCAGATTGTTTTATTCTCTGAAAAATGATGTACAAATGCAATTTGGCTGAAATCCTGTATTTCCCTATATGGGTAATCCCTACTCTTACCTATGGGCACTTCTCAGTGTTAAAAGCAGCATTTAGTATTGTTGTGTCCTGGGCCTGATGAGGAAACTCAGCAGGCCCAGAAATGTTGCAAATGGTCCCAGGCAATCTAAATGCTGCCTGGGACCAGACTGGCTGGTGCCAGACCACTGCGCATGCGCAAGGCGCAAAGAAAAAAGGATTCCTATTGGCTAGACTGCCTGGGGGTTGGAAAAATTATAAAAGGCCTGTGTGCCCATTTTGCAGTTGCTTGGAATGGAGTTAAGGAGAAATTAAAAAACTTGGTTTATGATGTGTCATGCTTCAATGCCTCGAATCCCGAAACACAAAAGTGGCAATGAAGGTGGGATCACTGCAAAGAAAAAGGCAGTAAGAAGAGGATAAGCCTCATCTGAAGAGCCTGAAGCCTGGGAATTGACATCCAGCTCTGCACTCACCTGCCAGTACAGCATCGCTGGAGGTGAGCTTGGCAAACGGGCCCTTCTCCTCAATGAAAGGCTTGCAGTGAGGCATTTGAAGCAGAAGACGTTAAAGATTGGACGTCAGTCCAAGTTTGACGTTGTTGGGGGTGATCGTACGAGTCTAATTGGACTCAATTGGTTTGAGGCCCTGGGAATTCAGGTGACTCGTCTGAATAGTCTGCAAACTCTAGGAATTGCAGAAGTCTGCAAAGAATTTGCGGATGTATTTAGTTCAGAGCTTATTTCATACAAGGAGCCTCCCATCGCACTGCGATTAAACCCAAACATCACACCAGTTAGGATTAAGCCTTGGAGGGTGCCCTTTGCCCTCGAAGGCAAGATTGATGCTGAACTGGACAAGCTGCTCCAGCAGGGCATCTTGGAACCTGTGGATTCAAGTCCATGGGAAACCCCAATTGTGACGCCTTTAAAGGCTAACGGGGAAGTCCGAATTTGCGCGGACTATAAGTGTACTCTGAACATAGCTTTGCAACAGCATGCACATCCTGTACCAGTAGTGAGTCATATTTTGGCCTCCCTTAAAGGGGGAACACTGTTTGCAAAGCTTGATTTAGCACAGGCCTATCAACAGCTACCTGTTGATGAGGCAACTGCTGAAGCCCAAACAATAGTGACCCATAGGGGTGCTTTTAAAGTAAAAAGGTTACAATTTGGGGTGAACATTGCTCCTGGCATATTCCAGAGCATCATGGAGCGCACGCTCAGGGGTATTCCAGGGGTTTGCCCCTACTTTGATGACGTCCTCACTGCAGGGGAGTCATCACAGAATTTGGCTGAAAGATTAAGGGCTGTGTTGATGAGGTTCCGTCAAGTGGGTCTCAAATTAAAAAAAGACAAATGTAAAATTGGTGTTACTTCTACAGAATTTTTAGGCTTTAAAATAGATGCTCAAGGCATCCATCCTGCAGAATCTAAGTTGAAGGCCATTCAGGAGGCCCCAAGTCCCAAGTCTAAAAGTGAGCTTCATTCTTTCTTGGGACTTCTTAACTTCTATCACGTTTTCCTTCCCCATAAGGCTGCTGTGGCTGAGCCGTTACACCGGCTCTTAGACAAGCAAGCTCCATGGCAGTGGACTAAAGTCCATGACAGAAGTTTTAAAGAGGTCAAGGCCTTGCTCTCATCAAATGCGGTATTAGCCCATTTTAATGAGTAACTGCCTGTATGCATCGCTTGTGATGCATCCCCTTATGGGGTGGGTGCAGTACTCAGTCACCTAAAGGCTGATGGAACACAAGTTCCTGTGGCTTACTACTCAAGGACCCTATCATCTGCAGAGTGGAATTAACGCTCAGATTGACACAGAAGCCTTGGCAATAGTGGCTGGCATAAAGAAATTCCATGATTTCTTATATGGCCGTCACTTCACGGTCTATACAGACCACAAGCCGTTGCTGGGGTTGTTTACAATGACCAAACCAACCCCTCACATCATTTCCCCCCATATGCTGGTCTATTTTCCTGTCAGCATATGACTACATACTCATTCACAAACCTGGCAAAGAAATGGGCCATGCAGATGGCCTCAGTAGGCTACCTCTCACTCACATAGAGGCAGATCCTGCCCCTGCTATTAATATTCTTTCTATTCAGCAACTACCTGAATCTCCCCTCAATGCTAGGGACGTGGCTGCAGAAACTGCCACTGATCACACGCTTGCACGTGTGCTGACATGGGTGTTGTCAGGATGGCCTGACACATTTCCAGATGCTACATTTCAAAGTTTTTGGATTTAGATTTTTGTCTCATAGTTACTCCATTCAAATCTATGCTTGATTTAACATCTAGTTCTCAAACTTTCCTAGCACTTCTTCTAGTATTTGCATGTAAATGAAATCTCATTCCATTTTTTTCTATTATTACCCCTTTGGCCCTTTGCCCTTCTTGATCACTAACTTTATTGTATCTTCTTTCTAGATCTACATTATTACTATTTAAATAATAAAATAATAAAAACCACTTCCATTGTTACCCTCTAAGAATAATTGGTTTTCCTTGCCTTAAAAGTTGCTGTTAAAGTTGCTAAAATACTCAGAATCTGGTTCCAGTTGAGCCAAAATGCTCAGGAGCATCATCTCATTCACACACAGAGACTCTGCTTGTCTAGTCGGTTCTCTATGTAGAATCAGCGAAACTCTGCACATTATTCTTCATTGGCTTGGCTCTCTGTACTGTAGTAATTGTATTCAAAATAATCAATGGCAGTTCCTTTTTCTTTAATCCTAATGAGATTAGATAATCAAGACATATATTAAAATGACAAAAATATTTAGAAAAGTATTCACTTACCCAGGGTATTTTAAGGCTCTGAGAATCCAGGATAAAATGTTCATTTAAACTCCATCCTATTTCTTCTTCTGTTTTCAGTAGTAATATGATTCTTTTTTACATAATATTTTGGCCACTAAAGTCAATGGTTCAATTAATAGCAGCACATGATAAAATCCAAACCAAATAAATGAACCTTGGAATTATTGGATAAATTTCACTGCTTTGAATAAGAAGTGTTTATCCAGCTAAATATTTTGCATGTTGGACCATTCTATGAACAACTGCCCTCAACACCTTGCTCCTAAAAACAATCAGGACTCATAGTCAAATTCTTACTTCAATTTTAGTAAATAGGGTTCTAGATGACAATTAGATGATATAAAAGTTTAAGGCATATAATCTCTTCCTCTGCTGCCCATAACTGGAAAGCTGTCAGATCATACATTTCCATAAAACTGAATCAAGAAATCCTTTCATGAAAGAACAATCCTGCATTATCTTCTGAATGGCATAATACCATTATTCACACCGTTACCCTTACTAAATACAAAAACCAAAACACCCCTCATAGTTTTATTCAGTTATATATATTCAGTTAATGATGGCTCCATTTCAGTATGACATAAAGTGGAACACACAAGGCATTGGGGGGAAAAAATATCCTGCTCAGTATGTGCTTTCTATGTGTTTCTTAGTAACAAGAGCAAATGTACCCAACCGTAGATGAAGATACATATGGCAGATATTACAGAAGAGGACTGAGGATTATTTCACAGCTATGGTATGTAAGGAGAACATTTTTCTTCCTTCCATCCATCACAAGAACTAATTACAATGAATAAAATTAATTATAATGAGAATTGATGTAGTTGATCCAAAATGTCTCCACAAACACTCCCCTTAAAATGCACGGACAGGATATCTCTTTCACTTTGTTGTTTACTGCAGAGGGGGAAATCTCTTCTAATAATGCCTTGTCTTGAAAGATTCTGACATCAACTTTCTACCACACTGCCTCCCTTTTTAAAAAAAGAAAAAATAGGGGATGTTACTACTGTCCTAAACTTGCATCCAGCTGTTTAAAAAAATCAGCTTGAGTTAATACAGGACACTGTCTGATTTGCATTGTTAATTTGGGTGGAATGAACAAAAGTCAAATAAGGCACCTGAGAGGCCACATAGGGCAAATGCAGGAATTGCCACCTCCTGAGAGGCACTTACACCTTGAGGTTTCAGTATAATGGTAATAGTGATGGTAAATTTCCTATTGTTATGGCCTCAAAACGTTTTATGAGAGAGACCCTAACATATCCTTCAACCCTAGCATGATTATGAAAACAACAACAACAACAAAGACATATTTAAATTTCAAATATATTTTCTTTACAGGACTTGTTCATATTGATATATAGATATACACAGAGAGAAAGAGGTCGAGATAATAATAGGCAGAAAGAAAGAGGAAGAGAGACAGAGGTACACAAGTGGTGCACACATACATGTGCCCCCTTCACAGAAACAAATGAATCTTCCACTCCATTGTTAATTGTCTGAATCACACCTCACTTTTTCTGCCTTTTCTGTCCTTTCTTGTCTTGTTGCTATTTTTTTTTAATTCTAAGTTGAATTGAAATCTGAATTGCAGGTCCAAGTTAGTTCTTGGTTGGCTACTTTGCAAACCTCCCTTTCTTTAAGTTGGAGTCCCATTTGTATAAGTTCTCCTCACGTACTGAAGAAAAGTGTAGCTAAGGATATAAACTGGAGACTTAAGGATTATTGTCTTTTTTCTTTCCCTCAGCAAGGACACTATCTGCTAAGATGACATATCAAAAATTAATGAAAAAAATCTGTCCAAAATGTATTCATCAATAACAGAAGAACCTTAGAAATAAAAGTTATCAGTCCAGGCTTGCCTCTGCCACAAAAACAAGTGGTACCAGATACTTCCAGATCAATTTGCCCAACTTGTAAAAGATCACTGAGCTTCTGTGGCCAGCTGAACTAGAAATCTGTGGGTTGACTTTCTTTCTGTGTGACTCAGTTTGGTATGTTTCAGATGAAATTAGATATTCATTTTTACCTATCATTTAAAAGTCCAAAATACATCCTTTCTCTCATAAACCTAAAAGAAAGAGATATTCTATCACACTCTACTTGGAAACTTATAAAGCAAAATCTTAAATCTCACAGAATAAACATGAAACTCGGAAATCTGGGCAAGAAAAAAAACAAGTACTAGGAAGCTGTGGGGCCCATCCAAGAAAAGGCTGCTTTGTCAGTCCACTTGACTCTTTCAAGGAGGATCAGGAGACATATTTGTTTTCTGATCATGTAACAGGAAGGACAAAGAAAGGAGGAGACAGAAGAGAAAGAGATGGGAACAAACTGTCACTGAGCTGAAGCAACTTCCCCTCAACTACGCGTATTCTCAAGCAATAACAACGCTATCTGTATTATATACCCAAGAATACCCGTCATCGAAGGGAGCACAGTCACCAAGCCAACCTGGCTGAGTCTTCTTCAGCAACCCCTCACAGGTGAAACGGCCCAGTTAATGGATCTTGGCCTGCAAGAGAGACAGAAAAGAAAGAGGCTTCGGACAGAGGCAAGCCCTCAAGGAATTCCCAACACAGAACCCTGGGTCAGCTATTTAGTCTGAATGCCACAGCCAACAATAAGAAAGAAAAAAAAAATCATCAACAGCAGTCATCTTAATTTCCATATATTTAGTTGTCATTAATGAGGACCATAGAGATGCAATTCTTTGCTATGTCCATGAGACATGAGGCTACACCATGGCTGGCATGAACTTGAATCCAAGACTACCATAACACTGTGACTTCATTCTCCACCTGTAAAATTTCAAGTTAATCTGACATGAAAATAAAATAAAGAAATATTGTTTTATCTCAAAATTTTGGATGGAATGGTTTCTAGATCTAACTTGCTCTAAATAATTTCTCCAAAATCCTTAATGAAAACTCAGATTAGCAGACTTTAGTGCAAAGGGCTTCAGGTGCCACAAGTAACGTTCCCATGGTATATATATCAGTTTATGTCTTTTGTACAATTGCATAAAATAATGCAATTTATGGAATGACATTGGCACAGATGACATATTCTTCACTTGGGATGAATGGACACCCCTTAAGTGTTCTGTTAAACTCTGCTTTCATTGTATTCACCACAAACTTATATCATTAACTGTCATGGGTTCCAAAAATCTTGGGAAGTATGTAATTTAATATAGAGAAAGCCACTAAAATTCAATCTCCTAGGGTGGAAATTCACAACTTCTACAAAAAAGTTAAAATAAAATTTACTTTCAAATTAATTACCATGAGCAAAAAGGAACAAGTATGCTTATCCTTACTGTCATCATTCTAGCAATAGAAATATTTACTGGTCCCCTCTTATTTCTTTACAATCTTCCTTATGCATGCTTTCAATATGGAACCCATTCTTCCTGATATTCTTTCTGACTTTTGAGCAGATATTTAAAGTGGAACTCATCTAAAATACATTATACATAGTGAGGAGAAATAGAATGGAGTTGATATGAATGCATGCAGGACATCTTTTGCATCAAAATGGTCAACACGGATTTACAGAGCTGTGGTATATAGTTGTTAGTTCCAGCACAATTTCTTTCTTTTTGCCAAAAGCTTTTTGATCCATTTCCTTGAACAGATGCATGGAATAGTGATGTATCTCAGGTTAGGCCTGCAATAAAAAAGCATTCCCAACAAGGTACTGACACTACAAGACAGTCAAAAGGTTTCATTGTTGCACAAGCAAAACAACAGGCAATTAAATTATACCACAAGTTCATCACTTATGATCTGATCTGAATAAAAGAGAAGGAGAATGTCAGTAACTTCTGCAACTTAATGGTGCACAAAGAACTCTAAAATCTGGTACAATGCCACACCCTAATAAAAAATGACAGGTATCTCTCTGGTCAGATATGACTGTCTCTGGCACAGAAATTGACCACATAGACAAATGGAGGATGGAAATAAAAGTAGGGCAAGAAACTAACACTTAGGGCATTGTAACCCTTTGAGCACACACATCCCCATCAGCTTCTGCAATAGAAGTCTTACAATGTGATTTCACCTGATAGGCAATAGAGCAGGACACTCATTTTTAGATGTATTCATGCAAAGTTTAAAAAAATGGTGCTCCTCTTAATTGCACAGACCAGTCTGCAAGCATGTCCAGATGCCCATTGAAGATAACTCACTTCATAAAGCTATCTAAACCAGGTTTTATAAAGGTTCTTTTGAAAGCATGGAATTACATGAAGCAGAAAACCTTCATAGTTGCCTTTCTCATACCCCCAAATGACCATAGTTGTAAAGTGTTCAAAGCAGTGGCTTAAATGTGGAGGAGAGTGGCTCTTTAACTATCTCTTGAACTGAATCCAGACACTCAGAAGGAATTAGGACACTCTGGGAAGTCTTTTCTGACAATTTTAAGACCTTCTGGCCTTACAATGGCACCACCCACACACAGATCATGAACATAATACTTATATATAGGATGTACAAAAGTGTTTGTACTTCCTAGCATTTTGTTCTGCAAATTTCACCATTCCCCATGCTTTACCATATTTCTGATTACAATGTAAAGATGTGTAGCGAAACTGACCCCTCAACATACACATTTTATGCAATATCATAGAGGAGCACCATGACACAAATTCTTTTATGCACAATATTCTAAACCAACCTTTTATAAATGTTGATTTGAATTCCTCTTTTACAGTTGTAGAAATTGAGGTAGATAAGTGATTGGGCCAGAAAATTCCTAGTTGCACCAGATCATCTCACCTTTTCTGTCAGATCAAGAAATGGGAACTAGAATAAGGAAAAGGAAGTGGCTTTTGTGGCTGGCAAATGATACAATATGAGAATTAGATCTCCTGAGTTTGTAGCTTTCACAGATATAAAGTATCCCATTATATCTTTTCACTTCCATATAATTCTGTTTAAATCTCTGTTGTCAGAGCCCCTAAAAGCAAAATCTTAGGAATATCTGCTTCTTGTTTGAAGCTTGCTTAGTGTTTGAAGTCCAAAAGGCACATGTTTGTACACACAGACCCAGAATTGTTGCTGCCCAGTTCCAATTCATGCATACATTCCTGTCATGTCTATACCTTGCCACACACTCTTGGTGACACTAAAGCAGATCACTTTATCCTGTTGCTTGGCCCTGACAGTAATAAAGAATGAACTGAATTGCAGGCCAGCTTCCTACTTTGCTGCTACTGTATTTGCCACGGGCTGTTTTACCTCCAGCACCAAGGACAGCTCCCACAAGCCTCTCTTAACCAAAGTAATAATTGCTGAGTGCCTGGTGGAAATCTGTTGGCGTTGGCAATGAATTCCATTAATGGAGGGCTCCAGATTGCAGCTCACACATTCAGTCTGTTCTACTGGTATTGGAAGAAGACTGCACCAGGCAAAATGGATTGCAAACCACAGAGATACCAGAACCATACACTAGTACAATTGGATATGCTTAGCTATGGGTGGAAAGATAAGCTTTCATTAACTTTGCACTAATACATATTCCTAACTGAGTTTAGTTCAGAAGACAGCATATATTTTTACTTGGATGATAGGAAATGAAAGATAAGTAGACAGAAGAAAGCCAGATTTCTATGCCTCATATACATTTGACAGTACTAGCCATGTAATCTTTCTCTTGATAATACTTAGATGAATTTTCTTTAAGTGACTCTGAATGCAACTTCTAATATAAGGTTTTCCTCCAAAAACAAATCAAGACATTTATGGCATTCCACTTTTAAAAGATATTGTTATTAAATGCATTGACAATAATACTTTTATAATTGAGAGACTGATTGTATTGTATGTATCAGTTGAAAAACTATATGAATAAGCATAAACACTTGGATTAGAATGAGTGCCTGTTTTTGTATGAAAGATTACCCCACAGAGGAGTAAGGAAATTGTTTCTTAGGAAAACATACATGCACACATATACACAAACACCCCACAATGTGATTTTTCCCTTGTATCCCATATTTTAACTCACCAGAGGCCTCCAAGGCAGTTAGTTAGATGCAGAAATTATCAGGTTTTAAAAAATACATCCCATGAAAAACAAAACAAAAAAAATATTTGAAATATTGGGTACACCTTTAATTTATAATTATAGAATAATTATTGGGTGGTAAACCTTCCTGTTTAAAAGCTCAGCTTCCTAATAAAAAATATACATACAATCTGATGAGCTGAGATGGGGAGGGAGCAAAAAATCACAATTCAATCATTTGTCTCCCCCTCCCTGAAAAAACTCCGTGTAATAAAGAATGCCTGTTGAAAAATCTGGTAGAGGAAATATTAACTAACCCTCAGCCCTGAGAAGAGGGGGGCAAGAAAAGTCAGTTGAGGATTATTATAAAACGACACCAAAACAACACACACCCAAACAAAAGGAAAGGATGTAGCGGTGAGAATACATGGAAGGAAATGTGAAGGTGGTGTGTGAATGTGTGTGCGTGGGGGTGGGGGTGAGTTTGGCAAGCCCCGCTTTTTCCCCCTTCTAAGCTGCCACACCTTAGTTAATGACATCTCGGTAGAGAAGCCGAAATACATCACTGAAACTCGTCCGGTCTCCAACGCTCAAAGAGTAAAGGCAGCGAAGGAAGCCCGAACGGTCCCGAATTCCGGAGGCTTCAAGCAGAAATGCCGCCTTGACGGAAACAAGAATATAGAGAGACCAGGCAGCCCTCGACTCACCCGTGTGCTTCTCTTTCCTTCTCTTTTCCACCGCTCCGGGAGAGCTCGCTTTTTCCCAGGGGCTCCGTTCGCCTCTTGCCCCCCTGGTCCCTTTTCTCTTCCCAGCTGAGGAAAGCTCTGGATTTCTTTTGGAATCCCATCCCGATGTGTAGGAATATCACGCCCGCCCCGCACTCCCTCCTCTTCCCTCCCCTTTCCATGATCCCGGCGAGGTTCCCTCTACCCCACCCACCCGGGTCCACAAACCTCCATGTTTCTGGAGAGAGAGCCGCAACCTTTCGCTCCCAGCCGCGCCGCCGCCGAGCACAAAGGGGTAAGGCAGCCGGCGGAACCTTCCTTCTTCTGCGTCTTGACCGACCTGCGGGCACGGCCTACCCTCGAGCACCCCCACCCCACCCCAACCGGACCCCGGCGACCGTTCTGCTGCCCCCGACGCCTTCCGCCGAGGAGGAGACCATCTCCCGGGGCGCGCAAGGGCCGAAGCCCACCGCCCATTGGAGATGAGAGGAGGGCGGTGAGACACCGCCGAGCCGAGCGAGTGGAAGCCCAGCCGGGGGTCAGTGCTCAGGCCCGGCCCAACCTCGCCTCCTACTGACCGCGCCGCTTCTCAGGCTGGGCTGGGAAGCCGTGGGTAGGGCCAGGTGGAGCGGGAGCCGCGCAGGGCTGCCTAATTGGGGCCGCCGCCCGGGCGATCCAACGCCTCAGTCGCTGCCGAGGGTCAGGGCGCCTGAGCCCGCCCAGCTGACCCGAACCGGTCCTAACCTGGGCGGAGGAAGCATCCGGGCGCCTTTAACTGAAAAGGCCCGGATCTCTTTCGGCCCGTTCCCACGGAGGTTCTGCACGGAAATGATCTGGAGGAACCAGTGCAAAAATTGGAGGAACCAGTGCAAATTGAGATGGACGCCGGGGGGGGGGGGCACAAGGGGACCGGGGCAATGTTGTTGGTTTCACTCTTCCGGGTTTGAATGTGAGGTCTTGGAAAATGTAACGCTTTACATTTCCTAGTCTTCTATTTTGCATTTCGGTATCTTAAACCTGATATCATACAGACTGTCAGTTATCCAATTACGTCAGTTAAATGATGATGAATAGTGATGAACGATAAAGATGATGAAGATGAAGGAAGTTGAGGAAGACATATTGGCCATGAGGAAAAAAAGAAAACCCACAGAGGCAAAATTGTTATAAGGCCAATTAAAATTTTGCAAAGTAACAGTAGCAATTGCATAGCCAGGGTATTTAATGGTTACTGCAAATAGCCACTAACTACAGGGCCAATTGTGTCTTTATATTTGCAGTTGGTGGAGAGGCTGCTTGCGATCTTTCTGTAGTATAGTTACTTATACTGTATATATTTGTATTGTACTTGGAAATTTGTAATTACATTCAAATTATAAGCATAAGTAAACATATCTGAACCATAGATCTATTCTAAATTTCTTTGAATAGCTGTATATTGGTAGCAATATTTTTCAAAACAGTTGATCTGGGGCTGGTTGCAAGCGTCATCTCTCTGGCCTTACTGCATATAGCTCCCCTATTTTGATAGGTGTGGCCTCGTGTTTGATGCCTGTAATGAAGTGAGAAAAGCAGGTTACTGACTTTCATAAGTCACTACTTCCCCAGCCCAGCATCCATGTCTTGATGCTGGGCTGGGGCTTTTCCCTGATTAGTGGTGACTAGAAAGTGAGAAGATGACAAATCCAGAGAGTTCACCATATGAAGATAGCAATATCAATAGCACTTAGACTAATCTACTGTTTCACAGTTCTTTACAGCCCTCTCTAAGCGGTTTACAGAGTTAGCATATTGCCCCCAACTGTCTGGGTCCTCATTTTACCCACCTCGGAAGGATGGAAGGATGATTAAACCTTGAGCTGGTGAGACTCGAATTGCTGAACTGCTGGCAGCCAGCAGTCAGCAGAAGTAGCTGCAGTACTGCATTCTAACCACTGCGCCATCTCAGCTCTTATATGGGACAACATAATTCAATTGCAAACCAAAATAAGGCCAATAGATATGAGGACAAAGAGTTTTATGTAGCAGTTCACACATATACAGTACACGCTCACAAATTCTTAATATAGAGAAGAATGCAGTGAAAGTGTCTTTTGAACAACCCCCACTGATAACTATCTGAAAAAAACCTTATTTGGTACAGCGTGCCTCTGCAGAAAAATCTCCCTACTACCTGGTCAGAGCTATCTACCTGTCCCTTACTCTGATGCCTTTCAATGACACCCACCATTTCTTTTGCTTTATGGAAACAGAGACTGGTGTACACACATTCTCTTGCTGCCCAACTTCTGTCAAGAGATTACCCTGCTGAGTCTCAACTCTCCACTCCTGGTTTCCTGAGTTCAGCAGACATGGTGCTGAGACACTAATTACATTGTCACAGATTCGGTGTTTAAATTATTGATGTCAAAGCAAAGGCCTTTGAAGTGTTCACCCCTCCCCCTTGATTAAGCAGGGACAAAGGTCATGAGGTCTGCCTGCTCCCAGTACTCTCATATCATTGCTCTCTGGAGCTGACAGTTGGCTTATTTCACGTATTGGAAAGTCTGGTGAAATCTAAAAAGAAGATCTGAAGGGAAGAGGAGGAGCTGTTACTTCCCATACAGAAGAATAGGAATAACTGCAGACTATATGATTTCTCTTGTCATAGATTACAGAATACAACACTCACCTATATTATAGGCAGACAGATGGAAAAGGAAGGAAAGATGCAAGGATATATTCCGTGATGAAATTTGGGGGCCTTCTCCACAACTCTGTGGAAGAGACCTCTCCCAGTACACCTATCCAGCCTTGATGAATATATATCACTGGGGCCTGACAGATTACACCCCAGAGTTCTGAAAGAGCTGGCATATATTATCTCAGAACTGCTGCACCACATCTTTCACAAATCCTGGAGCACCGGGGAAGTACCTGAGGATTGGAAAAGGGCTGATGTGGTCCCCATCTTCAAGAAAGCGAAAAAAATGGACCAGGAAACTACAGACCAATCAGTTTAATATCAATACCAGGGAAGATCCTAGAAAAGATAATCAAAAAACAGATCTGCGAACAACTAGAAGCAAACAAAGTCATAACTAGCAGCCAGCATGGGTTTGTTAAAAACAGATCATGCCAAACCAATCTTATCTCATTCTTCAACAAAGTGACCAAACACATTTTAGAATTATGGACTGATCTAAGGATTAAGCTCTCGTGTTAGAAATAAGAAAAATGGGTGATTATTAGAATATATATCTATATAAATAAAAGTGTAAATGTTCGTTTGTTCAAAATCTTAAATCTCTGAAAGTTCTTCACTGATTGCTTTGAAATTTTGACACATTGTTGCATTTGAATACATGCATGTTTTTATATATCTATATTATATAGATGTAACACCTGTGACCAGTAAAACATGCTTTTTGTGAAAAACAGTGCCATCTGTTGGACATAAAAGCAACACATGCTACAATTTCAGACAATTTCTATATCTGCACAGACAATGGAACAACAAAAAATATTGTATACCCACAAGCATTGTGAAATTAAACATATTACAAACGTGCACTTTCTCTTTTCTTTCTTTTCCATTTAACCAGACTGAGCCACAGCAACACGTGGCCGGGAAAAGCTAGTATTAAATAAAGTAAGAATGTATGTCTTGGAATAATAGGTTTATATGTATGAAAAGTATTATGTAATGGAATGAAGAAAACTGAAGAGGTGTTCTAGATCAGGATTGAACTAATAATGAATTGAATATTATTTTAATAAGATGATATGTTTTATCTGATAATATGGATGTTATTAGGTCTGATAACTAATTGGATGAAATTAGAACCTTGTCTAATGGACTTAAATGATTTAATGTTGAGATTATTGTGTTAGCCTAAGAAACTGATTGATTGATGGATTAGATATGTATAGGATAGATTAATATTTTATTTTAACTGGGAGATAGTAGTCGAAGGAGGAATAAATAAGATTTATGATGAAATTAAAGAATTAGGATAGATTTGGAAGCGATACCTGAATTGATAATGTGCTTATTTAAAGTTAAATTTGATTATGGTCTTGTAATTGCATAAAGCTGTAAAACAGGTTTAGGATTAATAGAAATTTAAGTTAGAAATAGACCATTTTTAATATATAAGCTATTTGAGGGAAATAGGGAATATTTGATGTATTGATTAGGCTATCTATATATGTTTTGTTTTTGGATTTTTGATTACCCCAACACCACGGTGTGTCTCGAGCACTTTGTATTAAAATTAAAAAAAACAATGAACTTTATTAAAAAAATAAAAATAAAGTGACCAAACGAGTAGACCAGCAAAATGCAGTGGACGTAGTATACCTAGATTTCAGTAAGGCATTTGACAAAGTGGACCACAACCTACTGCTTGGTAAGCTAGAAAAAGATGGAATAGACAACATCACCAGATGGATCGGTAGCTGGCTGACAAACCGTACTCAATGAGTAGTCCTCAATGGCACTACATCCACATGGAGAGAAGTAAGCAGTGGGGTACCACAAGGTTCCATCTTAGGCCTAGTACTCTTCAACATCTTCATTAATGACTTAAATGAGGGAATTGAAGGGGAACTCATCAAATTCGCAGATGACACCAAATTGTCATGAGACACCAAAATTTCAGGAGTAGCCAACACCTCAGAAGACAAATTCAAGATCCAAAAAGATCTTGTTTTTATAACATTTTTTTTCTTTTTTTACTTTTTTTCTTTTTTTTATTGAAAATTTTTAAAATTTTACAAAAAGAAAAAAATTCCCCTCCCCAAACCCTCCCAACCCACCCCAACCCTCCCCCAACCTTCCCAGAGCTGAATACAGGCTTAGTTGAAATTTAAAAGAAAAAAATTTAAACACCATAAACAATTAATTAGAATAATTAAACAAATTATAAAATACTTTAAGACCAATATATAAAAAGCAAAAAAAAAAAATTATGATTACAATCATTAAACACATTATAAAATACTCTAAACATTTTCTAATGTCATACTTATATTATTTAAAATTTATCCATCATTCTTTATAAACTCCCTCAAAAACACACATGTAAACATTACTTATAACATTGAAATTCCCTTATACATATTTAAAGCAAAATGTTCCTTTAAATACTCCTTAGATATCTAAACATACACTACCTATCTAATATTTTCATTCAATCTCCATAATATCATGCTTATATTATATAAAATCTAATCTCTCCCTTTTTCTTTATCCTCAAACACAAAAATAAACATAAAAACGTTAGTTATACCATTAAAACAAGGTACTCTTTTGAATACTCCTTAAATTGCTAAACTTAAACTTCTTATCTAAAATTTTCATTCGATCTCCATAATCTTCTCTCCTCTTTACCAATAACCAATTCCATCCACAGTGAACTGTAATCTATCAGTAACCTAAAAACAATCTATACATTCTTTATCAATCTCTCTTATCCATAAACCTCGAGAGAAGTGCTTGGAAATCTGCCCTTAAAGGTTGCTCCAAAAAGTTTATAAATCTTGCTTCTCCCGCAGACTCAGAAACCAATACTTGTGAGGCTTCCTTAACCTCCTTCTTCTGTTGCTCCTTTTCTTTACGTTTATGTGTTACACGGGTTGTTCTCTGCTCCTTCATCTCAACTTGTTGAGGCCCCTCAGTCTGAAATTTCCCAATTTTCATCAATATAGGCTCTTCAGACTGCAATTCTGCCTTCTTCTCTTCCGAAGCTTTAGACATAATAGGTGGCGATAAACATACCCCCAGGACCGAAGTGTAAAACTCTTTTGCTTTGAAAGCAGTATTAAGTCTATAACGTGTCCCCAGATAATTCACCACCATTCCAGTCGGGACATCCCATCTAAACAACATTCGCCT